GACAGATTCTGGAACAGTGCTGGACTATTTTCTAAATAACTTAAAATCGGGAAAATGAATCCCATTTCTGAAAGATGTTCTAGGAACTAGATCAAATTCTCTATGAACCACACGGAAAACCGAGTCCGGTGGATGAACCTAAGTAGTCCTTCCATATTAACCTTCATGTGATGTAAATCTGGAAATTTGTTATGTTTGGATGTTTTATACCCTTGTATTCATGAAAATGTCTAACGGCCTATTATCATATCTTGGCATAATGTTGTATGGGTATGTTATGTTAATTATCTTCTTATCTTGAGGAGGCATGCTTATGCGAATTTTATTTTATCGTTTAGTTGAACTAACCTTGACTTAAAACACTTAATTCAACGGGAAACCTAATTAGGAGGGTATTGGGTTTTCGAGCACTTGAGAAATGAAAAGATGAGAATATGTGTCATATGGATTGTTGGGATGCGTTCCCTATTTGAAGTTAAAGTCTTGCACAAGTGGTTTTCGGAACCCTTGAACGGAGCGGTTGTATTCGGACCCTAGGTGGTTTGGTGTGAGGAGGGATTCGGGCAAGGCCCTATTTTACCGTCTCTTTTGAGGCCCTGCGGTTGGCGCTACGCGGTATATAACCGTTGGTAGGCATCCGAGGTTAGTTTTGCAACAAAGCAGCAAAAGAGGGGGTACACCGAATAATCCGCGTCTGATTCTTGTGGTTGGGAGGACGAAATCTCTTTGGGGGATTTCTAGTTGCTAACACCTTACCTAACCCTTTATTTATTTATTGAAGTATCATGCTTTACTATTTGACGTTATAATTGTGATTATGTATTGGATTGGGAAAAAAGGGTGGGGTGTGTGTGTGTGTTTACTGGGCATTCAAAGCTCACGGCATATCATGCCAGGTGACGAAGAGGAACTCATAGCTGGAGATGTCGAACCTGAAGCATTTGAAGACTTTTGGTTATCCTAGAAAAAAAAAAAAAAGTTAGGAGTTCTTTTTGGATATTTTGTAAGACTCATGCAAAGATTTAAACTTTCTTTTTGGATGTAATGTAATGGAACGAACTTTTGTAATAAAGGATACTCATGGCTATTATGTTCTATATATTTATATGTATGAACCTTATCGTTGCTTATGAGACCTTGTGTCAATACCTTTTAAGATCTGTCAAAAGGGTAGTGTGCTGCTTAAGAAAGCTGGACTTAGAAGGGAGGCTATTTTGACTCCTTCGGCGATCTGGGATCTTACTTGCCTATTGACCATAGGACTCATTAGTGACTCTCCCTTGTCTGCAACCAATAGCATAGAATCGGGGTGTCACAATTCTTCTTTTGTGCGTGGAGACATCAAAGCACTAAGCTTGAAATGAGGGGCCAATGGTGTACCCATAGCTTTTGTTTTCCCATTTATGCCAAATCTGTCCAACACCTTTTTCAGATACTGGGTTTGTGTTAGATAAACCGTGCCCTTCTTCTTGTCTCTTTTGATCTCCATACCAAGAATTTTCTTTGCTTCGCCAAGATCCTTCATTTCGAGCTCTCCTGCCAACTATGCCTTAAGTTTGTCAATCTCTAACTTGCTATTAAATGCAATTACCATATCATCGACATATAAGAGAAAATAGATGAAGGAACCATCAGAAAGCTTACAGAAATATACATAATGATCATACTGGCTTCTTGTGTATTTCTTTTCCGTCATGAACCGATCAAATCACTTGTACCACTGTCTTGGGGATTGCTTCAACCCGTACAATGATTTGTTCAGCTTACATGTCCAATTCTCTTTTCCAGCAACTTTGAAACCATCTGTCTGGGACATTTATATCTCCTCTTCAAGATCTTCATGTAAAAAGGCAGTTTTGAAATCGAGTTGGGCAAGCTCGAGATCAAACTATGCAACCAAAGCTAGCAAGATACAAATAGACGTGTACTTCACAACAGATGAGAATACCTCATTGTAGTCTATTCCTTCATTCTGGGCATAGCCTTTAGCTACCAATCTAGCTTTGAATCAGATGTTTTCTTTGCCTGGGATGCCTTCCTTCTTGGTGTAAATCCACTTACACCCAATTGCTTTCTTTTCCTTTGAAAGTTGCACCAACACCCAAGTCTGGTTCTTGTGAAGTGACCCAATCTCTTTCTCTATAGCCTCCTTCCACTTAACACTTTCTGCATTATGCACGGCTTCTTTGAAAGTGCAAGGAACATTGTGCATAGGTCATCATATCGGTCATCCAACCGGGTTGTATAGCAATCCTTTTTTCCTTTTCGGATTGCAATGGGTTCTGATTATTGTGGGGCCTCTGGATCTTCATTCTCATCTGAACTCTCTTCAAGATCTTCTTCAGAGCTATCAACTGAGGCTTCTTCAGGGTGGTTGACTGGCTGAATAATCTTTGCTGGAGTCTCAAACTCCACCTGCACTGACTTCTTCAATGCTTCCCCATTCTCATAAGGATTTGGCTACTTCAACATTGTAAACTCATCAAAGGTAACGTCTCTTTTAGTGACAACTTTCTTTGATTCAAGGAACCAGAGTCTATATCCCTTGACACTGTCACTGAAGCCCAAGAAGATAGCTTTCTCAGCTCTAGGATCCAACTTAAATTCTGTAACATGAAAATAGGCTGGACATCCGAAGATACGTAGCTGATCATAATCAGTAGCTTGCACTCCTGACCATACCTCCATGGGAGTCTTGCCATCTTGTGCAACAGCAGGTAGTCTGTTGACAAGATGACGAGCATAGTTCAATGCCTCGCCCCAAAATGCCTTGCTCATTCCTGAATGTGACAGCATACACCGGAATTTCTCCACCAAAGTGTGGTTCATGCGTTCTGCAACTCCATTTTGCTGTGGCGTTCCACTAACTGTGAAATGTCTGACTATCCCTTCATTCCGGCAAACCTCAAAGAAGGGATCTGATGTGTATTCTCTGCCATTGTCAGATCTAAGCTTTTTGATCTTTCTGCCTGTCTAGGTCTTAATCATTTTCTTCCACATAAGAAAGATGCCTAATACTTCATCTTTATGCTTCATTGCATAAACCCATACTCTTCTTAAGAAATCATTAATGAACGACACAAAGTAGTGTTTACCTCCCAAAGAAGAATTCTTGGAAGGTCTCAAAATATCTGTGTGAACGTAGTCCAAAATCCGTTTGGTACAATGAATGGCAGTACCAAACTTGATTCTTATTTGCTTGCCCAGTACACAATGCTCGCAGAACTCAAGCTTCCCTATTTTGAAGCCTTTCAACAGGCCTTGCTTTACCAATCCTTGTAAAGCCTTTTCTCTAGTATGCTCTAAGTGCATGTGCCAAAGTCTAGAAGTGTCTGACCCATCATCCTCTGAGCTGGTGGAGACAGCCACTCTCTCTGTGACTGTAGAGCCATCTAGGAAATATAAATTTCTCTTTCGAGTATCCTTCATTGCAACAAATGCTCCTTGAACAACTTTGAGAACTCCACCTTCCATAGTTACTCTGTAACCTTTGGAACCTAAAACTCCCACTGAGTTGAGATTTTTCGTCAAATCTGGTACATACCGAACATCTTCAAGAATTCAGATTGTTCCATCATGCATCTTTAGTCGAATTGTTTCAATCCCCTTTCTCTGGCAAGCCTGGTCATTGACCATCAGTACAACTCCTCCATCGAACTCTCGTAAGCTTGAGAACCACTGCTTGTTAGAAAATATGTGGTAGGAACATTAGGAATCTAGAATCCATTCATTAGAATGGCCAAGTGATGAAACTGTGAAGGCTGATCCATCACCATTATCTCTATCTCATGCAACGTTCACCTTTTCATCTTTCTTGTCTTTATTAGGACAATCTTTTGCCCAATGCCCCTTCTGGCGACAAGCAACACACTCGTCTTTTGCAAGACATTTTCTATCTGATGATCTCCTTCTAGATTTTGAGTGAGACTTTCCTCGCCCTGTATATCTTATGTTATTTGTACTGCCTCTGACTATTAATGCCTCTGATGCTAAGTTCCTGTTTACCGATTTTTCTTTCCTTTTGAACTCATTATTTACCAAGGTGTTTGAAATATTAACATACTTGATCTTTTCTTTACCGTATAGTAAAGTAGTGGTGAGATGGTCATATACGTTAGGCAAGGAATTTAACAATAACAGTGCTTTATCTTCATCATCAATTTGAACATCCAGGTTTTTTAAATCGGTAAGAATTTTGTTGAAATTATTCAGGTGTTCGTTCATTGAAATAGCTTTCTTGTAGTCGAAATGAAACAACCTCTTCTTCAAGTAGAGCCGGTTCTCAATGCTCTTTGTCATGAACTTGTCTTCCAGCGCCTTCCAAAGCTCCTTCGCAGTATCATATTCTGTGAAGGTGTACTTCTCCTCTTTTGCAAGGCAAAGCCAGATGGAACTGTAGGCTAGGAGATTCACTTTCTCTCATTCTATTTCATCCAATTCATCTGGTTTTTCTCCCAGAGTAAAGTGTAAGTTCATCTGGACAAGCATATCTTTAACTTTGCATCTCCACATGCCGAAGTTGCTGCTTCTATCAAACTTTTCTACTTCGAACTTAGCATGGGACATTGGGGTCCAACGCTTAGAGTTGCTTGTAGTCATCGGGTTACTTGTGGACTCGGTTGATCTCGTCTCTGTAGGTTCTGCCAATGACACTATTAAATAATCTCCACTATAAACAATAACAAACACTTGAAATTCCCGAAACATGGCAAATTCTAAGCTCCCAAAAACTTCACTGAAAATTCAGTTCCGAATCTCAAAAAATGGAATCTGCGGTTGTGTCCAGAACGGTTAATTTAGCTAGTAAAGCACTTTCTCCACTTCTCTAGAGACTTCAATGAAATTTCTTCAAATCCAAAGGCCAAATTGTAATTTTCCAAAACTCTAGGGACCTCACTGCAATTAATAGAAGTTTTAGGGGCTAAATTGAAATTTTAGCAAGATCAGGGACTGAAATACAATTTACCAAAATTTCAGTGCCTTCCTGCAATTTCAAAAAAATGGCTAAGTGGGATGATGATGTGGCAGATGTGCTGACGTGTGTTGACGATGTGGCAGGTGAGCTATTGATGACATGGATCAACATGTGGTAATGACTTGGCAGCCATGTGGTTCAGACGTGGCAGTGACTAGGCTGACACCTGGCGTTGGTGTGGCAGCTTCCAAAAATAATTTGGAAATTTATTTGTGATGAGTTTTGAACCCTTGCCCTAAAGGGTTTTAACCAAGGCTCTAACCACTCTGCCAAGTGTTAACTTGTGCTATGTTAGTGCACAAGTGAATACTTAAAGCCTTTAGGACAGGTTGACTTCTTCAGCTTTTGCTCCTTCGCCAAACTGAACTTTCTGGCAAGTCTCCGGCAAAAATCCGGCAAGCGCGTGATGGTGCGTGAAGTGTCTTCGTGGGTTGGTCTTTCTGGGTCTGAACTCCTCTCATCGAAGCGGTCATCCTAGTAGGCTGAAAACTCAATTTTGACAACTTTGAAATTTTCAGTTTACAGAAAAAATGCTTTGTTTTTCGTACAACAACGCTCTGATACCAATTTGATGTGCCTAGGAGGCAAAAAACAATCATATAAAGCACACAAGTAAGAACACACAAAGATTTACGTGGTTCGGCAAATCGCCTACATCCACGGGTAGCCGAATTCAGTAAATTTGGAAGAATTACACACTTTATAATTCTCTCTATGCTCTGTATTCTCTCTTCAACTCACTGCACTGAACCCCTTCCATTCGCTAACCATTTATAGATGCAATGGGAGGGCCAAAGTCTTCAACAAGCCACCAACATGGCAACCACCAATAGTCAGCCACCTTATCATGGATAGCTCGGCTGAATGTCTAGCTTCTTCATTTTTTCTTCAATTAGCAGCCATCATTGACAAAGCAAACAAAGCAAATCTGAGCCAATCTTCAACAGAACTTAGCCTCTTGTCCAGTCTGCAAACTTTAAACTAGAACAATAACTCTTAGGAAGGAGAAATTCCAGCCAACTTCTCTCACTGCTCCAACTTGATGTTCCTTGGTTTGGCTAACAACAACCCTATAGGCAAAGTTCCCCAGGAGCTCAGTTTCTTGTCAAAGATCAAACATCTCATTATTCAAAAGAACAATTTAATAGGAGGGATCCCTTCTCTTCTCGTGAACCTGACAGCTCTGGAGGTTATATCTGCAGCTCAAAATGCTTTCAGTGGAAGTATCCCAGATGAATTGGGTCAACTGAGAAACATTAGTTATTTTGCATTGGGTGAGACCAACCTATATGGTATGATCCCTACCTCCACTTATAACCTATCCTTTCTTACTGTTTTCTCTTTGACTATAAATCAACTTTGAGGCAATTTTCCTCCAAGCCTCGGCCAGATGCTTCCTCAGCTTCAAGCAATTCGATTATATGACAACCAATTGACTGAGCCCCTCCCACTTTCACTATCCAATGCGTTAGAATTGGAATATATTGACATAGAAATTAACTATTTCAATGGGAAAATATCAATTGATTTTGGACGCCTAACACATAAGTGGTTCATAAATCTACATTCCAACAATTTTGGAAGTGGAGAGCCTGATGAAATGGATTTTTTTGGCTCTCTAGCCAATTATAGTAATTTAGAAGTATTGAATCTGTTTGGTAACAAATTGAGGGGAGTGTTAGCAGATCATGTGGGCAATCTTTCAACTAAACTCAATTATTTAGCACGTACAGAGTCATCCCATCAATAGTCGGTAATCTTGTCAATTTAACATACTTAGTTGTACATGGTAATCAACTCACTAGCACACTTCCCACCACTGCTGCTTAGTTCTAATCAACTATCAGGAGAAGTACCTAATTCTATGGGAAACCTGTCACTATTGAATGAACTTCACTTGGATAATAATAGATTACAGGGAATCATACCATCAAACGTTGGAAATTGGCAGAGTTAAATATTACTAAACCTATCTCTAAATAACTTTAGCGATACCATACCTAAACAACTTTTCAGTATTTCCTCTCTCTCAATTTCACTAAATCTAGGTCGAAATGGTTTGTTTGGATCCCTCCCTTCAGAGGTTGGCAACCTAAAGAATTTGGCCGAACTGGATATCTCTGAGAATAAATTGTCTGGTGAAGTTCTAAACACCCTTGGGAGCCGCACTAGTCTCCAAAACCTATTCTTGGAGGGTAACTTGCTTCAACGGTCAATTCATTCATCATTGAGCTCCTTAAGAGGTTTTCAATACTTCGATCTTTCTCATAACAACTTACTAGGACAGATTCCCAAATTCTTGGAGCAGATTCCCCTCATGTATTTAAATTTGTCATCTAATAATTTTGAGAATGAGGTTCCAAGCATAGGAATTTTCTCACATGCAAGTGCAATATCAGTTTCTGGGAATAATAGGCTCTGTGGGGGCATTTCTGCACTACAGCTACCAAAATGCACCATCCAAAGATCAAAGAATCTAAAAAATGTCCATTGCAGTCATATTAATTATCTCTACAGCATGTATGCTTGTTGGAGTAATAATTGCGTCAGCATTTCTGCTTTGTTGGTGTAAGAGGAAAAGGAAAGTTGGTCTTATGGATCATTGTTGAGGTCATTCATGAAAGTTTCTTACAAAATACTCCTTAAAGTTTCTTACAAAGTTGCTCTTCTGGTTTAGGAGGAAGGGTTTTCTTCAGAAAATTTGATTGGTGTGGGTGGTTTTGCTTCTGTGTACAAGGGAATCCTTGATCAAGATGGATCAGTTGTCGCTGTCAAAGTATTTAACCTATAATCTCGAGGAGCCTCAAAGAGTTCTTGGCACAGTGTGAAACCTTAAGAAATATTCGACATAGGAACCTCATAAAGATCATAACTACTTGCTCAAATATTGATTTTCAAGGTAATGATTTTAGAGCTCTAGTGTATGAGTTCATGCCAAATGGGAGTCTCAAGAAGTGGCTGTATTCAAGTCCAAAAACAAATAATAGAGAAGAGAAACAACAAAGACTCAGCCTTCTTCAAAGAATAAACATTGCTATAGATATGGCGTGTGCACTTGATTATCTTCATCACCACTGTCAAATGCTAATCATTCATTGTGATCTGAAGCCAAGAAATGTTCTTCTTGACCATGACAGGACAGCCCATGTTGGTTATTTTGGTATAGCTAGGTTTCACACCAAGCTCAGTAATCCAAACCATAGCAGTTCTATTGGAGTAAGGGGAACTATTGGATAAGCAGCTTCAGATAACTTTTTTAATCAAAACTAATGCTAATTTTTCCAATGATTAAATTTTAATTATGTCTAATGTTTTCCCTAAAATGTTTTCCCTAAAATTTCATTGCAGAGTATGGTGTAGGAGGTGAGATGTCCCCAAATGGTGATACCTATAGTTATGGGATCTTGTTATTGGAGATGACGACATTAAGGATCAACTTACCGTATATTTGGAGAAGACCTTAACCTTCACAACTTTGCTAGGATGGCCTTGCTTGACCATGTTATTGAAATTGTGGACCCGATACTTCTAAGTAGCAATAAAGAAGAAGAATAAGCCCCAACGAATCTGAAAGCAAGACAAGTAAGAAATGCAAGTCCAATGGAGAAGCGATGATTATAATGGTTAATATTGGAGTGGCATGCTTGATGGAGTCACTATAAGATCGAATGAATATAAGGAATGTTCTCCACGAGCTGCATTGATTGAAGCTTAATTTGGTCCTACAGATTTCATGGTACGGAAGTTTCAAAAAGAACCTTTGACTCATGGCGCATGATGCATAATCTGAATGCCATATAGTTAAGACAGTAAATTAATGTACATATATTAATTTATAGAGGTTTACATATTAGGTTTCTAGCTAGATGTGGCATCTAAAGACGTGCTGGTGATTAAATAAAAGCTACCATTCTAAGTCTTGAATCTTGAGGCAAAATGCATGTATATTGCACTGGTTTGCACTAATGAACATGCTTAAAAAAATGAATAAATAAATAAATAATGCATCAAGGAGGAACAGAGTGTGTGCTTTTAAATGAACAATCTTATTGACCTTATTTTGTATACAAAAATACTATACAAAGTAACAAAGTAATAAAATCGACACTCGTCATGTCATACAGTGTTAATTTTCTGCACCAAAAACGTTGACCACCTTATATTAATGGTGATTTTAAATTATCGTAATTATTTTTTGTGCTTGAACTAGGTGAATTTTGTTAGTGCCCGAAACTAATCTAGAATGAGTTTATATTTATGCCCTTGTGTAGCACCCGGCTTCCCTCCTTCTTGAAGTGGGAACCATTGTCCGAAATAATCTTATTCGGGACTCCGTAGCGACAGATAATATCATTCCGGATGAACTTAGCAACATGCGACACCTTCAACACTGCATAGAACTGGGCCTCGACCCACTTTGTAGAGTAGTCTATCGCTACCAAGATATACTCATGCTCGTTAGACCCTTTCAGAGTAACTGCCCCAATCACATCAATCCCCCAGACTGAAAATGGCCACAGCGAAGTCATGTTGTACAGCTTTGATAGCGGAATGTTCATGCGGTTCGCATGGATCTCGCATTTGTGGCATTGCCGAACAAAGCCAATACAATCCTCCTCCATGGTTGACCAATAATAACCCTGTCTGAGAATCTTCCGAGCCAGCATTACCCCACTCATGTGCGCTCCGCACTCTCCTCCATGGATGGCCTCCATCAGGCGCTTGGACTCTTCAGCATCAACACAGAGTTTGGGCATCCCAAGATGACCCCGCTTGTACAGTTTACCCCCGACTTCCTCTGCGCGCCCCCCCTTTTGGAGAGGGCGCGAATTGGTCTTACTACAGTTCAGACTCCGATCACGATTCTGAATCTAATCTCACAAAGTGTAATGTGACACTGATAAACACCAAAGAGTCCAATCCGGCAAGTGATTTTGGAAAATCAAATTTTAAATCAAATAATGCCGAAATTGGACTACTTTTCCAGATTATAGAGTCGCCACGTAAATATTTTGTTTTTGGAAAAATTTAGGAAACCCTGACTTGTGCCTAAGGCCACGTGTCCGTCATCACCAAAGTTGCCTCAGCTCGGGAACTTGGGTACGAGAGGGGAAGGTCCTGAAATGAGCACCCTCGCTCGCCCGATCAAAGGATCGGCCTCTGCTAACATGATATGTTGTTTCATAAACACATGTGTTCTTATTCAGGTTATTAGCTAACTTACTATGTGATGTGCACAGCATACAAGTATAGACTCAATCACGAGAATTGAAACAAAACAACTCATGTTTGTTTTTGAAAATGGCTTGAAAATGCTACTCGCAAGTAGGCTAAAGCGCGGATTTGCCACCCTCAAGTGGGCTTAAAACAACATGATTTGCCACTTCGTAAAGTGGGCTTAAAATTCATATTCATCGAATTGTCCTCTTATCTTTGGCATTTGCCCCGGGTAGATAAGTCTCATTTTCTAAAAAGTTCCAGATGTCATGATACCAAGGGTTCTGATCTTGTACCTCATCTATGGCGGCAATAAGCTCGTAGGCCGGCACATACCATTGTTCAGTGATGATTGGACACATCCGGACTCCCAAAGGGATGTCTATCATAGAGGATAGAGTTGATAAAGTGTCTGCGAACCTGTTGCTCTCTCTCAACAGATGGGTGAAGGTTAACTTCTCAAACCTAGGAATTAGAACGTCCAGGGTTTGATGATAAATTTTCAACCTTTCTTCCTTCACCTTCCAGTCTCCTTTCACCTGAGACAACCAAGTTCGAGTCCCCAATGACGTCCAACCTTTTTGCCTCCAGTTCCAGGGCGGCTTCTAAGCTAGCGATACGTGCCTCATACTCAGCTTCGTTGTTTGATACTGTGAACCGGAGTTTGAAAGCTAGGGGTATGTGTGTAACAACCCACTCTTTGTCTTAGTCATGATCACATACATCTGCATGATCTTTGTCTTGATTAAACTTGCAATTGCAGACCTTGATTTGTTCGAACTGAGTGTTACTTGCATGCTTTGTTCCTTGCTTAGTGTGTGTTAAGCTGAGGTCATCTTATGCCTAGGTCACACCTTTGAACCTCTTACACCTAGGACCATCTTGGAACCGCTTTGGTTGACCTCCACCTTCACTTTGGCATCTAGGCCGAGATGTTATCATCTAGGCATCCAACATCCTTGATCCTTACACCTAGTGATCTTGTTCCTGGACTGGTATGACCTAGACCGAGGTATGGCACATCTAGGCCGAGAAGTGGCACAGCTGGGCAGAGTGTTATCCTTCCTAGCCGAGATCATAGAGACCTTACTTGCCGAAGCCTATGTCTTGACCTGAGGTCATTGCCTTGTTAGAGTGCCCTTGTCACCTTACTTCTTGTACACACCTTGTCATACTCATTTCTTGTCATTCTGTCACCTTTTTGGGGAGAACCAACCAGTCGTTGCCACGTGTCCCAACAGAGGGTTAAGTCAACCGGCAGTAGAGAAAACATATCATTGTGTGTTATATCTTTTGCACGGTAGAGAGAGAAGCTCTAGGAAGAGAGGAGGAAGAGTTCTTAGAGTGAGATTGGATTTCCAAGATTGATCTTTAGAGTTCGAACCGTTTGATCCGTGTTTTGAGGTTAGATTCTTGATCTACTCGTGTTGTTCTTTATATTTATCCGACCACATTGCATGATCCAGCATGATTCATGAGCCATGCATTGATTTAAAGTTTGTTTTAGAAAGAGAAAATGATGTTCACGTGTTCTTGAAGAAAAACCATGTTTTGATCCGAAAGTTTGTATCAAGATCCATGTTTTTGTGTTTGTTTTCTAAGATCTTCAAGTATGGGTACCCAGGTCCATGTTTTCGAACTCATCTCATGAAATCTCAGATTTTGAATAAAGAAATTATGATTTTAGCATTCATGTTCTTCATGTTCTTGTCTTTCATGTTCTTTAAAAAGAAACCCAGAATTTCCAAACTTCATTTCCCTAAATGTGGTCATCAGGACCATACCTCGGCCAAGAGGTGTGAGACCTAGGCCAAGACCTGGTTGGTACCCAGCATGTTTTCTCGATATGAGAAAACAGTGTTTTAACTCCCAGCACCTGTTTGCTTTTTCTTGACTTAGTTTTGAAAGAAATGCCGAGATCATTTACACTCGTGCATAGCTTGTTTTAAGAATGCATTCCACATCCATCTTCGAGCATCTCTTCTTATCTTCTTGAAATGCATTCAATGGGATTTATTATGCACTTGCAGGCCTTGGATCCTTGCTTGTAATCCCCACACCCGAAGAGCTATGTGAGTGGTATTTTTGATAAAGCTATGTTCTAATGTTTTGATAAAAACTTTGTTTTGGAAAAGTGTTTGTTCGAATATGAATGATTATCCCTAGTTTTGTATCAAGTATTATCTTGTTTTGATGACATTCTTGGAAAGTCCTTAGTGCTAGGGGACTATAATGCAACTAGTACCCTTGTTTGAGATATCTCCCTTGCCACCGACGGCCTTGTGCGGGTGGGTTTGTCTAATCGATTCCGGGTCGATTATTCCCTTGTTTTGTCAGGAATGTCATCCCTTGTATTATATTGATGCTAGTAAGCATCCTTTGAAGCTTTGAAAGACTTGATAGATGAACTTGGTTCATCCCTTGATTTTGTACAAGCTATGATATGTATTGTTTTGATAAAGATCTCGAGTATCATTCATTTAACCCTTTGTTACTAATATCATTCATTGAGTATCCAAGCTCACCCTCTCTATATATATATGTAGGTGACGAGCAAGAAGGCGGTGATGCCTAGATGTGTTTCGCAAGATGTTTTGGATTCATGTTTTGCTAGCATCTTGAAGATTATGCTTCTTAGCTTTTGGTTATGTCTTTCGTATATGTCGGCTTGAGAAGCCTTTTAATCAAGATGTAATATGTACTTTATTTTATTTGTATCCAAGTTGTAAACCATGTTAAGATGTATGCCATTTTATTTGATATATGCACAGCTCTTATGGACTACCTAGTTTTAAATTTATTGCTTTCGCACATGTAAGCCCCATATGTATACTCTGATTGTGTGGGAAACTTTGTCAGTTGGCCTTTGGTAATCTCAGATTGCTGGCCATCATGGCACCAATCTACTAGGGGCGGAATGGGGTCGTGGCAGATTGGTATCAGAGCACCGGTTCCTTATGGTATGTTATTCACACACTTTGAGTCCTAAAGAGCTTAGGATTTCCCTTAGAATGATATTA